ACTCACAACCCGTAAGATCATGACCCAAGCCAAAGTCAGACACTTAACCAACTGAGCCACCCAAGTGCTCCAATTTTGCCTATTCTAATACTTAATGTAAATAAAATCATATAGTTTGTCTCTTTTTTATGTGGTTTCTTTTATTCAGAACGTTTCCTTTGTCCACATTGTTGTGTATATCTATAGTTCATTCTTTTTTATTACTAATAAAAATGTAAAGGTTTATATGTAGCTTATATAAAGGTTTTACCTTTTATTTAGGAGGTGGTATTTATCTCTTCATTACTGATTTCCATTTTCTCTGCATTGTGATCAGAGGATACGATAATACAATAATGATGTCTGCAGACTTTTATTGAGCCCTTACCATGTAGCAAGGCACTGTTCTTAACTCTAACCCTCACACAATACTGTGAGGAGCACACTATTATCACTTTCATTTTACAGATAAGAAAACTGAAGCACAGGTGATTAGCTGACTCATCTAGATCATACAGGTAGGGTAGAACTGGAGCCCTCTGAGCCCTCTTAACCGTATATTACATAAAATGTATGGTATCATTTCCATGGAATTTGTTGAGACTTCCTTTATAAGTAATTACATAACATAGTTTTGTAACTGAAAAATATATTCTCTACATTCCATATATATGTAATAAGCTTAATTATGGAATCCAAATCTTGCAAAGATTTTTAGTATAGATTTTTGTTTAAGATTAAAATCTCCCACTATTACTAAAGATTTCTCAATTTCTCCTCACAATTTTATAATTTGTACTCTTTTATGCTTCTGTGATCTTCCAGGTGGATTATTCCATTTATCTTTAAGTATCTTTTTCCCTATTAATAAGACTTCAATTCTACTTCATCTAATAAGGGAATATCATTTCTCCTTTTAAAAGTATTTTCTTTTTTTTAAGATTTTCTTTAAACAATCTCTACAACCCATGTGGAGCTCAAACCTATAGCCCTAAGATCAAGAACTGCACACCCTACTGACTGAGCTCTCTTTTTAGAAGTATTTTCTAACATATTTTACTGCTTTACTTTCCATTTTCAGTATCATTAGGTTTTTTACACATCATTAGGTTTTTTACATACCTGGTATGTATGTATCAAGCTACATATTAAATTCTTACATTAAAAAGAAGCAAAATTAAAAAACAAACAAGCTGGGGAGGAGGGGAGTATTTGAAATAAACAAAGCAAACAGCCTAAAATATAAAAAAACTTCCAATATTCAAATAGAAAATTCATCTATGGACATGCTATGGGCTGAATGTGTCCTTCCAAAATTCATATATTGGAATCTTAATGTCTAACTGATGGTATTAGTAGACAGGGCCTTTAGAAGGCACTTATGTCATGAGGATGGAACCCTCCTCATAAATGCAATTAGTGGCCATATAAAAGAAGCTCCAGAGAGATCCCTAACCCCTTCAGCCATCTGATAACACAGTAAGAAGGTACCAGCTATGACCAGGGAAAGGATCATCATCAAGAGAGAATGCAACCATGCTGGCACCTCGATCTTGGGACTTCTCAGCCTCCAAAACTATGAGCAATGAATTTCTACTGTTTATAGCTACCCAGTCTGTGGAAATTTGTTATAGCAGCTCAAATGGATGAGGATGGCACAAATGATTAACAAAATATATAAAATAATGTAAAATGGTTAAATTTTTAAAAATCCAATCTTACTAATAACCAAAGAAATCCAGATTTAAACAATAACACTACTGCCTATTAGATGCCCAATGCTAGAACAATATTAGAATAATGATATCACATACTGTGGCCATGTCTGGAAATAAGTACCTACACAGACAGGGCAGGGGTATGCAATATGGCAGCAAGTATAAACAACCATTTAAATATTATATAATGTTTGACCCATCAACTCTACTTCTAGAAGTGTATCCTAAATAGACAGTTACACAAATACAGAATGATGTAAATAAGAACATCAACCAGCATGTTACATTAAAAATTAGGTACTATAGTGTAGTATAAGCTCTTTAGATAAACAAAGGAAAATAAAACTTGAGTTTAACAAACATGGAGTCTTAACTTTAAAATTTATTAAAAATTGATTTGGTTAACAATGTCTCATTTGATGATAAATATTCCTTCAGCATCTATGTACCAGGCTATGAAATATACAAAGTGAAAAGACAGTCTTGCTCTCAAAAAGCTCATAGTCTGGAAGGGAAAATGTACACACACACACACACACACACACACACACACACACACACACAATTAACATACAATATAACGAATGCTCTAACAGGACATTATAGAAGCACATATGCAGAGTGAAAAACACAGGCTCCCCACAAAAGCTAAACTGGCACCTCCTCAAGCCAGTGTGCTGTTGTCTATTTAGAAAATAAGCAGAATGTAGCCAAAAAGAGGAAGGACAATGAATAAGGGCCATGAGTTGCACAGCTCAGCATACACACACACGCGCACGCACCAAGAAAATTCTCCAATTCTTCTTATTTTCCTCACATTTTCCCCAGAAGGAAGTTCTGGTAAATGCAATTTTTCCCTCAACTTATACTCAAGTACTGTTCTGTTATGCCCCCACTTAAGCTAGGTAGTTCATTATTTCAACTCTCAAGTTGCTGAGATTTTTTTTTAAGTTTACTTATTTTGAGAACGAGAGATGGGGGGGGGGCATAAGGGTGGGGGGAGAGAGAATCCCAAGTAGGCTCCAGACTGTCAGCGCAGAGCCCAATATAAGGCTCCATCTCATGAACCATGAGATCATGACCTGGGCCAAAGTTGGAGACTTAACTAACTGAGCCACCCAGGCACCCCCCAAGTTGTTGAGATTTAAATGAAATAATAGATGTTTAAGTATTTTATAAACAGAAAACCAATGTGTAAGGCTTAAAACAAAATAGTCTTAACAAAACATTGACAATTAAGGACCAGGAAATATCTTTATCTTAGATACGCTGTGTGGGTGTGTGGATGGGGGTGATGTACAAAAATATTCACTGAAGCATTATCTAAGGTAAAATTCTAAAAACAAATATTTAACAATGGGTTAGTTAAGTACTGGGTAAGCAAAAAATAAAACACCACTACAAATAATATTTATAATAGTGGCCCTCAAGCTTTAACATAAATGAGAATCACCTAAAAGGACTTATCAAATCACAGATTCTAGGTCCCACTCCCAGAATTTGTTGAGCAGGTTTGTGATTAAGCCCACGAAACGGCACTTCCAGTTGGTACTGATACTACTACTCCAGGCAACACAATTTGAAAATCCGAGAATTATAAAAGTACTCATCTTTTTTTTTTATCTCACCAATAACAAAAGAATACTAATCAATTTATATACATATATATAATTTTTTAAATTAAACACATAAAAAGGGAGAAAACATCTAATAACAAGCGGAACCACCACTCTCTTATTGCCCAATACAGATGCATTAAAAGTAAAATATACTTGAGGGGTGCTTGAGTGGCTCGGTCGGTTAAGCATTGGACTTCAGCTCAGGTCATGACTTCAAGCCCCATGTCAGGCTCTGTGTTGACAAATCAGAGCTTGAAGTCTGCTTCAGATTCTATGTCTCTGTCTCTCTCTGCCCCTCCCTTGCTTTCTCTTTCTCTCTCTCTCTTTCTCTCTCAAAAATAAACATTGAGAAAAAAGTTTTTAAGTACCATAAACTTGAAAAATTATTTCACTGACATTTTCGACCTGCAAAGAATCCACTGTCAATTATTCAAGGTTGATTATCCAATTGATTATTTCATATATCCTGGAAATCTACTTCTCCTGCAGTATCTATTTGCCAAGGAAATATTTCCTGGAATGCCTCAGTTAAGGAGGAAAATCTGAAATGCATATTAAACTGATAACTTCTAGAACAGCAGTTCTCATCCTTACTTACAAATGAGAATCACCAACTATGCTTTGAAAAATGCAAGGGCACCTGGGTGGCTTAGTTAAGCATCTGGCTTCAGCTCAGGTCATGACCTCCCCGTTCGTGGGTTCGAGCCCCGCATCAGGGTCTGTGCTGACAGCTAACTCAGAGCCTGTAGCCTGCTTCAGATTCTGTATCTCCCTCTCTCTCTGACCCTCCCCTGCTCACATTGTCTATCTCTCTCTCTCTCAGAAATAAATTAAAAACATTTTTAAAAAAGCATATGCACAGGCTCTCTCCAAATCTACCAACTCTGAATCTCAAGAGAAGGACCTAAGCATCTGCTGGGTTGTAAAGTATACATGACTCTTACTTCTACATGCATTTCTTGGCACCTATCTTTAATTAAAGCTATGTTTCATTCTGTGAGGTCAAAATATTTCAAAGAAGACAATGTTATCACATTGTGATGGTAATATTCAGGAATCTGAAAAAGCTCTATGATTTTCCTCATCACATAACCATCCTTCCCTCTCCCACCCCACTTCCCAACAGCACAAAAGTTGGGGAGTACCAACTCTCAGACTAATCAAATGCAGTCTAAATAGAGCTGCTTTTTCCTTAGTACATGTGCTGACCAACTGAGTTATTTTAATCGGGCATCTTTGAACTTCTTTGTCTTCTGGTCTCAATACACTATAAATAAAGAGAAATAATGTCCTCAAATTGAGTTACCTTTAAGGAGTATTTAGGTCAAGTTAGTAACAACTGCATGATGATAGATGATTACCACGTCCTCTCATTTTTCAAAAGTACTGATATCATGGCATGCGCAGACACAAACACACACCTGGGGGAGAAGAGGTTAAACCCCCAACTAAAACTGTATTATCAAATAAAAAAATTACTTTCCATTAAGTAATCTTAATATTCATCAAGTCAATATTCATCAAGTTTCCAAAATCATCTTGTCAGGAGATCTGTAATCAAGTTCACCTTTGAACACCATGACTTTAAAAGTTTTCATCTATGATATATCATGTTTAAGACCCAATTTAGGATGCCAAGTTTTCTTTGCCAGGAAAAAAGTCAGAGACATTTATTAGTCAGATAATCTTTTATTAAAGTGGAACACACATTCCTTTGAGATCCTGGCAGAAAACATATCAAACATTTTAATCAAATGAAAATTTCTGCTATTGCTATAGAATGCAAATAAAAGTTAACACATAATTTTTTACTACATTACTTGTCTTTAAACATCTTTACTGCAAGAAACATCTTACTTTTTATCCTTGAATTACATTGTACATTTAAAAGACACATCATAAAACTTTCAGAGCCTTCTGCCTGGCAGAGTTACATAAAAATAAACTCTGAGGTCTTTTTTCTTGCTTTCTCTTTCTTTACAATGTTACTGATGTATAACATATAGGGGATTTGAAGACTTAATTTTAATACACGTGTACTAATATATTAAGACTAGTCCTAGATCAATGACAAAAGACATCACATTAACAAACATGCATTGTCAAAGCCATTTTTTTAATTTTAACAAAGTATTATAATTTGTTACTATTATTCTTTATATTTTTTATAAACTATGGAACTCCGAAAACCTGGTATTTTCCTGAAAGTAAATTTAGGACAATTATGTCCCTTCAGAAAAATATCTGTCCTCATCTATACAGCTATACAAAATGAAGCAATGTAATTGACCAACAGTAACTTATTTTTTAGGTAAGAAACATTTCAATAACTTTTGTAACTTACTGGTTTCAAACATGTAATGAATAACTTTTTATTAAAGTGAGTTTACTAACTAACATAAAGTATTTTCATTCACCCAAAATAAACTGGTTCTAAGCTATTCGTGGAGCATATTTTATTTTAGGTACACAGCCAAAAAGTTAAAAATAAACATAGTTAAGTGGCCAGAATAGCAAGACTTTAGCTATTCAGAAACTCTGTATCCCTCATTCAGTCTTCACGAAACTGCCTGATCTTAATTTACATCAAAAAAAGACAGAAAAAGCAATTTTGAATATGGAAGTATGTCAAAATATAACCTAAACCCGATTATAATTATCAGAAGAGCTAAGAGATTTCCTAGAAGTTCAGTGTTTCACACAATCCTTCATCAAGCCTGGATCTGAAAAGACATGAAACTCCAGACCACATACCTTCTTCCACTCCTACACTAATCAGCCAGACTGAAAGATGTGCAAGGCATTGACTCTTACACCCCTTCTTTGGTATCTATTCTAAGTAGCAGTTCTTGAAACAAGATACCATACTCCATCCACAATGTCTAGACATGGTAGGCACTGAAAATTGTGTACCCCCAGTAATTTAAAATAATCCCAAGTGAAAGATATCTGTTTTCTAACTTTCAAGAAACTGAGTCCAGTTATAAAAACCAGGGAAAAGATGGTCCTATGTTCCATGAATTCCTAACAAGATCTAATAAAGGCTGAGAAAATATATGTGGAAATACTATGAAAATTTCACTTGATTTCAACTGCTACTATCAAATGCCTTTAAAGACAGTTTTCAACGAGAGAAAGAACTTAAAATTTAAAAGTCAGGCAGACACCCAGGTTCAAATGCAGTTCTTCAATTTCTTAGTTCTGATCTTGGGCAAGACACTTAGCCACTCGGAGCCTCAGTCTCCTCATCTATAAAACAGGAATAATAATAACAACTGTAATTATAGAATGCATAGCTGCTGGGAGGCTCTGAGATATAATTCATGTTAAACAAGAAGTGTGGACAAGGATGTGGAGAAATCAAAACCCTCATAGACTGGTGGTGAGAATGCAAAATGTTGTAGTCCCTTTGGAAAACAGTCTGGCAGTTCCTTGAATAAACACAGACTTAATATATTACTCAGCAAATCCACTCCTAGGCATATACCCAAGAAAAATGAAAACATATGTACATTAAAAAATTTGTACATGTGTGTTCATAAAAGTGTTAACAGCCAAAGTGAAATAACCATGTCCATCAACTGATGAATGGATTAATAAAATGTTCTATATCTAAGCAATGGAATATTATTTAGCAATAAAAAGGAATGCAGTACTGATAGATGTTACAACACTGAAGAACCTTGAAAAAAATTATGCTAAGTAAAAGAAGTCAATTGCAACAGACCACATATTGTATGATTCCACGTATATGAAATGTCTATTTATATGATTCCATTTATTGAAATGTCCAAAACAAGTAAATCTATGGAAAGCAGATTAGTGGTTGCCTAAGGCTGGGCAAATGGGGGTAAAGGGAAGGGTTACGGTAAGGGGTATGAGGTTTCTTTTTGAGGTAATGAAAATGTCCTAAAATTGATTGCAGTAATAGATGCATATTTTGAATATACTAAAAGCCACTGGATTATACATTTTAAATTAGTGAATTACATGGTTTAAGAATTATATCTTAATAAAGCTGTTTAAAAATTCCCACGCTTGGGGCGCCTGGGTGGCTTAGTCGGTTAAGCGTCCAACTTTCGCTTAGGTCATGATCTCGCGGTTCATGGGTTCAAGCCCCGCATCGGGCTCTGTGCTGACTGCCAGCTCAGAGCCTGGAGCCTGTTTCAGAGTCTGTATCTCCCCCTCTCTCTGACCCTCCCCTGCTCACGCTCTCTCTCTCTTTCTCTCTCTCCTAGAAATTAAAAAAAAAAAAAATCCCCAGGCTACACAGAATACATTTATACATGGATATCCAAACTCCTACATCTAAAAGCACAGGATTAATTAGGGTTACATAGATATTAAGTATGCATAAATACGTACTTACTTACATACTTAAAGACAGTTAAATATCTTCCTCCAACACATCTGAGAAATGGACTTCTTTTTCTAGCCATGATAAAGTAACTGGTACCAGACTAGCCCTCCTTGAGTGACAAAACATATGACTCTACTATTTTGGGAGTTAAACAACTGGCAGTACAGGAGATGTGTACAACATCTGCCCCGGCTTTCTGCCTGGGAAACTTTCCCAACTGCATCACAAAGAAGTGAAGCCGGGGCGCCTGGGTGGCTTAGTCGGTTAAGCGTCCGACTTTCACTTAGGTCATGATCTCTCGGTTCGTGGGTTCGAGCCCCGCGTCGGGCTCTGTGCTGACTGCCAGCTCAGAGCCTGGAGCCTGTTTCAGAGTCTGTGTCTCCCTCTCTCTCTCCGACCCTCCCTTGCTCACGCTCTCTCTCTCTCCTGGAAATAAATTTTAAAAATATTAAAAAAAAAAAAAAAAAGAAGTGAAGTCTATGCCAAGCATAATGGTGTCACTGAACTGAGATGCAGAAATCACAGTTCTGGGCTAGAGGAGTGGCTAGACTTTATAGAGGACAGGATACTGGAGAACAGGCAACAATACAGAACGGGTGGTCCCAAAAATCTGCATGGGGTTCCTAGGGCATCTTTGGCTGAGTACCAAACTGCACATAAGCCAGGGTGAGACTCCGTGAGAATTACTGCCGCAGGCCTGAGAGCCAAACAGATACCAGAAGCTGCACACTGCTGGGAGACATCAGAATTGTAATTCAACCAGAAAGGAGACATTTCCGCACACCTTGGACACTCAGACTTTCAGTGGAAATGCCAAATTTCAACACTCTTTAAAGAAAGACAACACAATTGAGACTTCCTATGATGTACCATTCACAAAGTCCAAATAATCAAAACTTACTAAATACGCAAATAAGCAGTAAACTGTGACCCATAATCAGAGGGGAAAAGCGGTCAACAGAAACAAACCACAGTATGACTCCAGTGTTGGGAACAGCACGCAAGAGCTTTAACACGATAATTATAAACATGTTCAGTCACTTAAAAGTACACGATCACAAATGATAACTTCATTGGATAGGCTTAAAACTAGATTGAAAATTATAGAAGAGGGGGCACCTGGCTGGCTCAGTCAGTAGAGCATGTAAGTCTTGATCTTGAGGTTATGAGTTCAAGCCCCATGTTGGGGGCAGAGATTACTAAAAAATAAAATCTTTAAAAATAAAAAGGTAAAAGGGGCACCTGGGTGGCTTAGATAGTTGAACATCCAACTCAATTTTGGCTCAGGGCATGATCCCAAGGTGCTGTTATTGAGCCCTGCATCAGGCGTGGAGCCTGCTTGAGACTGTCTCTCTCCCCCCTGCCCTCTCCTCTACTCACTTGCTCTCTCTCTCTCTAAAAGAAAATGAAAAAAATTTTTAAGGGAAGAAAATTACAGAAAAAAGGACCAATGAACCAGAAAACAGATCAACAGAAACTACCCACTCTGAAGAACACAGATTATTATCAGATAGTTTAATATATGCATCTCCTTGGAATCCAAAAAGGAAAGAAGAGAAAATGGGGCAGAAAAAAAAAAATCTGAAGAAATAATGGCCCAAAATTTCCCTGATTTGTTGATCCAAAAAGCTCAGTGAACCCCCAGCTGGGTAATAAAAAGATACATTAGTCACATCACTTTCAAACTGCAAAAAAAAAAAAAAAAAAAAGATAAAAAGTAAAGATGCTGTCAGAGGAAAAAAGACACATTACACAAAAGAGAGCAAGTATATAAATATTATGTGTGTGTGTGTATACAGACACACACACACACACACACATATATATGTGTATACATACATATATATATGTATACACATATATACACACGCATGGTTTCTCATCAGAAACAGTAAAAGCCAGAAGACAATGGGGTGACCCAACTGTCAAAACAGAATTTAATATCCTGCAAAAATTATCTTCCAAAAATGAAGGTGAATAAAGACAAATAAAGACGTTAAGAGAACTGTCACCAGTAGAATTGCACTAGAAATACTGAAGGAAGTTCTTCAGCCCAAAAGGAAATGATACCAGATGGAAACTCAAACCTATGTGGTCTGAGGAGGGAAAGAAAAGTCAAAATTGGTAAATATAAAAGACTTTTTTCTATGTCTTAATGTATTCAAAAGATAACCGTGTTTAAAGCAAAACTAACATTATATCATGGACTTTATAAAGTATGCAGCACAGAGGTGCCTAGGTGGCTCAGTCAGTTAAGCATCCGACTTCAGCTCAGGTCATCATCTCGTGGTTTGGAGATGGAGTCCCACATTGGGCTCTGTGCTCACATCCCAGAGCCTCCTTCGGATCCTCTGTCCCCCTCTCTCTGCCCCTCCCCTGCTCGCCTGCACTCCCTCTCTTTTTCTCTCTCAAAAAATAAATAAACTTAAAAAATAAAGAAAGTATTCAGCACAAAGTCTGGAATGAAGTAATCAGAACTGAACTTGTAAGTGTCTTAGGTGGAGTGGTATAATATTCACTAAGTACACAGTGATAAATTAAAGATGCATGGTGTAACACCTAGAAACCACCTGAAAAACAGAAAGATGTCCAGCTAAAAATGCAAGAGAAGAAAAGGAAGTACTAAAAATATTCAATTAATATAGCTGAGGAAACTATTAAAATACCTCTATAGTAAAATAGAAAACAATTCCCCCACGGAAAGAGTTGATTAAAAATGCAAAATACATTTTACCACAGAAATAATATTTTTAATTATGACTATAATGTAAACCCTTTGGATAAAGTTAGCTAAAATAAAACTTGAGGCTGGACAGTAAGCCAACCACCTAATACGTATACTTGTTTTGGAATAAAACAATTCCATAATGCAGAAAGAAACACAGTAGTACACAGAGACTATTTCCCCAACTCCAAACTACAACCAGGTGAAGACTAGCTATTTTATGAAAACAAGTTTTATATATCAAGTATTCTTAATATTTGTACATATTAGAAATAAACTGCAAAGTCTGTTAACATAAAATATAGAAATAACTTCCCTACAAACTAAAAGCCAAATGTTTACCAATACTAAATAATTTAATTTTAGTTTTGAAATTAGGTGGAATTCACATAGTTCAAAATTCAAAACATACAAAAAAGGGTATATAATAAAAAATCTCTCTCTCCCGTCCCTATTCTCCAACCACCAATGGGGGAAAAACAAATAACACTAAAATATAATCAAGGAATATATGCTCCCAATTGTTTCCTGTGGAGCCACAGACATGGTAACACTTTTTATAACACCAGAAATAACATTTTCTTTTTGAATTGGGATTACGTCAAAGTTCACAAAACAGAAAACATCTGGATGACAAGACATTCATATATGAGTGCCATAAAAAAAAAAGATCAAATGGAATGTTAAAATAAAGCATGACCAAGGAATACTGTGAAGACACAGTAAAATGAAATAAAAATACCAGCCAAGGTTTTATTAAGTTAGCCCTGACCAACGCATGACAGGAAATCTGCAGCAATGGAACAAAAGAGAAGGTTACAAGTTTCTGTGCCTAGTTCCCAAATTAGTCACTGAAGAATAGACAGCACAAACCAAATTCAGAAACTAACTCCCGCCTTTGCATCAGATCATTCCTGAAGATGGACACCAATAAAACAGAATGCCATCTCCAGGATACAAATGAACATTCAAAAAATTTACAAAGAAAAACATCAACTTACCACCCCAGGCCTCTTCTAGTACTTTGTATTTCCAAGACTGAATTTCCAATCCTCAATTATTATTAAGGGGCAAATTATTCAGCTAGGAGTAATTCTAGCTCTTATTTGTCTTTCCCTGCTTTCAGTTCAGCCACTTCACTACTTATTAATGCTTTCACCTTAA